GTCCAGAAATCAGAAAACTGTATGATAAATAAAAACGACGTATCTACGCTGGGGCGTACCGAACGTATTTAGCACCCAGGATGGCTCCGTTTTTGGAACCCCACAAATAATTTTAAAATGTAAACATACAGAACAGTTTATTGTGTTTGCAAGTAGATTTTTAAAATGTACAGTGATTTCATAGTAAAATTGGAAATAACTTTTACTTTGGCGGAGTTTATAATTGGTGTAAAACTTGTATTGTAATACAACTCTTCCGATGGTACCCCTTACTGTCTCCCGGGGCTGACCGCCCCTTTAGCACACTCCTTTGTACGCCACATTCTCTACTTCTCTATGCAGTTTCGAGTTTTTTTTTTTTTTTAAGGGCAACATATGTGCAATAGATCGATATCACCTTTATGTGTGGGTTACCTGTAAGATGTTATATACTGTGTTAAAGTTGCACATTCAATGACTTTGGATTTGTTTTCATCTGATTCATATACCTATGTTCTTTAAACTACTATGAGTTTAAGACGTTCGAGGTTATCCGATTGCAACGGCTATTATGGTACATGTACCCCTATGTCATTATCTGTAGGCCTTATTTTTTTTATGCACTATAACCGATCGGACTTTGTCGATAACGGTCTCTTGGGTGCAGGGCATCTAATATTAGTGCAAGGATAGGAATATAGACGTTTGAATAGCTTGATGGGGAAGACATAATGGCGTCTATGTGTTCGTGCCATTAACGTTTTGAGTAGGCAAAACCAATCGATAGCTTGAAGTGCTTCTCATCGGCTTGATTATAATTGTAATTTTCCTTTAGAAATGTTATCCACGTCTGCATGATATGCGATAAACAATAATTTTAATGTGATTTTAGATTAGTTGAAGAAAAAAAATAGAGCCTATTCATCTACGTTGTAAAATTGTTTATATTTCCTATGGAAACTAATTAAAACATCTAAATTGCTTTCCTCCTCCATTGATATTTGGTTCCATCAGTATTTACTGTAGTGTTTAGAGAGTTAATAACCCGTGCATTTAGTGGATGAGAAGATAACGCTATCTATTTTCCAATAATGTACGGCACTTAGGATTATTCACACATATACAAAGGTGTGTTTGCTGACTCTAGCCACCTGAAATCAACGTTGCTGGCATTTGATAAAACAAAACGACTAACCGATCCCAGAACGGAATCCTTTATATACTTTTTTATATTCTATTTCTTACTTGACTATGGTATGCTCCTTTAACATAACGAAACTATAGTCTTTCTAACTTGACAAAAAATGGTCCTTTTTCTTTGACGAAACTATGGTCTTGATTACTAGACGAAACAGTTTACGAAATCTATGAAATAGCATGAAGACATTCAAGGATGTCTATGAAGCACTATGAAAACTATTTTAAGTTCTATAAATACCATGAAAACTACGAAGTGTATAAATGCCATGGAATAATATTAAATCTATACAGAAGTCTATAATATGTAATCTATTCGAAGCAATGAAATGCTATTAAATCGCTCCGAAGTCATTGAATATTATTAAATCTATACGAAGAATATTGTTGTTGTTGGGCTTAACACCATTTTTCAGCACACGATAGGCTATTCATGGCGGCCAGTATTAATGGTGGAGGAAGAAACCGGGAAATCACCGGAAAGAACCACCGACCCACGAGACGCTACTGGCAAGCTTTCTCACATATCCAAATTCGCCGAATCCTAGACTCGAACCCACGCAGACATAGGTGAGATGGCAGTGATCCGTAACGGACAGCGCTTTAGACCACTCGGCCACTCGGAACGAAGTATATGAATACCTTGAGAAATATACGAAGTTTATTAATACAAAGAAAATTATGTGAATTTGATGCATTTAATGAAATCTATACGAAGCCATTAAATGCTATTAAATCTTTACGAAATGTATGAACACCATGAAAAATATATATGAATAAATACCATGAAAACTATACGAAGTTTATGAATACCATGAAAACTAGCAAGTATATGAATGTCATGAAAACTATACGAAGTCTATGAAATAACATGAGAATTAGAAGTTCAAGAAGTACCATGAAACATCAGTTCAGTCTACATAATGGTTCATAAGTGTTAATAAAATGAAAACAAAGTTGACATCTTTTGAATACATGTACGTATCTATTTCATTCTTTAATTGTTAATATATTGTATTTTAATGATTTCACTTATGAGTTTCTCACTTTTTCAGTATTCAAAATGTAAAGGCAACGTATTTCATGATTTCGCTTGCTGATAATGCGTCACACTTCCGGTCCTCAGTAAGACCTCAAATAACTAGCGTCTGCAATTTGGTGAAAGCACAGAATCTTCGTACATTTTTTTTCAATGATGTACAGCGCCCCTGAGTCCGGGTGGTTTTTGCTTCCTCTATACAAATAAAAGCGATCGAGCGAAAGAAAAGAAAAGAAAGAAAGAAAGAAAGAGATTGATTGATAGATTGATATTTTTTTATTCCTC